TTATTTAAGAGGAAACAGCAAGAAATATTACTTGAGAAATAGCTCTGTTGAGGAAATTCAGTTTTGATACTTGAGACCAGGTTCAATTTGACTGGACTGTTCATAATGTGAAGTTTATTCTTCAGTTAGGTATCAGTGAAATAAATCAATTATTGTTTTACATTATTTTAATATTTTTTCAAAAATAATGCAAAAATTTCAGTATAAAATGTTCATTTTTATTATTACCAGGACAGGGAATATTGAATCATTTTATTAACACTATAATTGCTTGTGAAGTTCACTTAACTATAATATATATACTAATTTTTAACTAATCTTTGTTAATTGCATTTAATTATATATTTAATAATTTCAAGAATAGTGCAAAAATTATTTTGAGATTGGATTGAGAAATGTCCATTTTTATTATTATCAGAGTAAGGAACATTCAGCTATTTTATTAACACTAGAACTGCTTGTGATGTTTACTTAAATATAGTGTATATAATAATTTTTAACTAATCTTTAATAATCAATAATTAATGATCTTTAATAACCTTGAATTAATAGCTAATAATAATCTATAAAAAAATCTAAATCTATATCTATAAATATCTACAATTATTACATTTCAATTTAAATAAAAGTGAAAATTAATTTTCCCCAAACAGTAATTCTGGGAACCAAAATTGGGAAATACCCATCAGTAATTCTGGAAACCAAAAATCTGAAACATAATTTTAATCCTGGTATTTTCAGAATGACCATTCAGGTGTACTTTGTTGTTCACCACCCATAGATGAGGTTTTATTACTCTTGACTAAATGTGATATTACACCAATCAGAAATAGTGAAATAGGAAGGGTGGGGACATTCCTTGTACTGTTCCACTGAAGTATAGAAATACCTTCTCATACACCTAACTTCTAACCCTAATGTGAACATTTCTACTTCCTAACCTTCTCTCATCCACCTGTTTATGAATAAAGAATAAAGGAAAAAATTGGTAATGGTCATTTTTAGTGATTTTAGGATATATAGTGGATTTTGTCCTTGTCCTCTTTCACTGAAGTACTAAAATTCCTTCTCATACACCAGACTTCTGGCCCTAATGTGTACATTTCTACTTCCTAACCTTCTTTCATCCACCTGTTTATAATTCTCTATATATCACCAACAAAATCCACTGTATATCCTAAAATCACCAAAAATGACCATTACCAATTATTTCCTTTATTCTTTATTTATGATTTTATCCACAGAGAGGGAGAGGGAGGGAGGGAGAGAGAGAGAGAGAGAGAGAGAGAGAGAGAGAGAGAGAGAGAGAGAGAGAGAGAGAGAGAGAGAGAGAGAGAGAGAGAGAGAGAGAGAGAGAGAGAGAGAGAGAGAGAGAGAGAGAGAGAGAGAGAGAGAGAGAGAGAGAGAGAGAGAGAGAGAGAGAAAGAGAGAGAAATTGGACTAATGTTATGAAGTATAACCACATGAACTGGTTATGGTTGGGAGCCGGCAGGTTTGGAGATATTTAGCGAGGAAATAGGAAAAATTGGTCGATCGCGATCAAACAGTCGCGAACCTTCGAACACAGAATTCTCCTTGAACGCAAAATCGGCCAGAGTAGCCGCGAGTCCCTTTCACCGAGCCTTCGCGGCAAAACGGCCAACTATTCGTTCCTCGCTGCACTTTTCTTTGCATCGCTTGCAACCTTGTTACGTTTACAGCGTTCCTGCATCTCGTCAACTTCGCTCTCGACCACCTGCAAATTTATTTCGATTTTCCACGTTTCGCTGGAAATATCTTGCGGCGGTATTTCATGGACATTCGTTATTATTTAGTTTAGAGATTATGGTAAAGGACTATTCTCGGATTTATAGGTTAGTTTGGAAGTTTTGACAGTGTTGATGTGACAAGAAGAATATTGGTGATGGAATTTTTAGCTTTCCTCGTAGAAGGGTCTATTCAGGATCAGGTTTGAAGATTTTCTTTGTTTATTTTGTGTATGGTTTTTAAGGTTAAGATTATTAGGTTAGTTAAATGAATTTTGTTTTTGGTATTACCGGATATGTACAATATTTACAAAATTAAGAGTGATTTATGTTTAGATAATATTTAAGTAATATGTGTTGTTATATATAATATTAAATTATTAATAAATATATATATATTTATTTTATACTCACTATATCTAAACAAATGCATTATATTAATTTTCAGTCTTTTATGAGAAACATATTAATATTGTCATATTATTTAATATTAATACTAATACATTGAAATTATTGTAATATTGTTAATGTAATATTTTATTATCTATAAGTATATATATATTTATTAATATTATGTTATACTCACTATATAATATCTAAGCAAACGCATATTATTAATTTCCAAGGCCTTCAAGGAAAACAGATTAAAAAACATTGCTTTAAACAGATTACAAATAACTAGATTAATTTATATTCCTCACACTAGTCAAAATAACTGGTTTCAGACTAGTTTTTGTTTTTTCAGTTGAAAATATCCAGTTACTTTAGCAAAATAAATTTATTGATTTATTTATTTATATATCTAAGAGCTTTTTATATATCAAAATTATATATCAAAAGCATAATTTTATTGTTTTGTTGAAATAAGAGATATGCATTGTATGTAGTCTAACTTGTAAATTGTTTACAATATCAATTTTGTTAATGTTAAAATTGATTTTAATTAAATTATTTCATTTAAAATAACTAATACTTAAATTCATTTCACTTAGCTTTTAATTCAATTTAAATTGAAAGAGAATATTAAATCTGCAAATATGAATATATAAATATTAATAAATATCTATGTAATAATTTTAAATTAGTTTTATATTTCATAGTTATATGTTAAATCATTATATTTAATATTCGAATATATATAACTATAATATTTTAAAATGAAATAGTTTGGTTAGAAATTTTTATTAGTTACTGTATATTTATTTTTTGTCTGTTAGACTAATTATGAAAGAAAATATTGACTCTTTTTTTTATTGAAAAATCATTTTAGCTAACATTTCAGATGAACATATAGTAATAAATATGTTTTTATTTTCTTATGTCGAATATCTAGAGACTTAACATTCGATCAACGCAAAGATTAACAAATTTATTGCGAAATATAGTGCTTTTCGTCATGAAGAAAATTTTCAGGTTTTAAACACAAAATTGCAATAGATAAAATAAGATTATACCGTGATTTGTATTCAATGGAATTTATGCACTCATTCATTTTACGATATCGTATCTCTGTCCTTATATAATTATATCTTTACCATACTTAAGTACATTCCGTAATTGAGTTCAGTACCAAGCACATACATTTCCACAATTTATGCTACCATGCAATCTATTCCGATATTTTGCAATACACTTGATTGTACTTTTCGATAAATTTGCAGATTAACATCAACATTTTTGGCACTTTTAATAACAGCAAAGTGTTTAATCAAAGATTTCTGGTATAGTTGGAATAAAAAGTAATTAATTATCACTTAATCATCATTTATAATTTATCATATAATTATTACTGTTATTTACAAAAATTATTAAGTTTAAATATTTATTAATATAGTAAGAATTTCCTATAAACAAATATTTATAAGTTTCTTTAATATTACATTTAAATTTATTAAAAGTTAAATTTTATATAAATCAATTTTAACTAATTTGGTATAATAGTCATATTCCTTGAAATAGTTTTATAGGTTTAGATGCCACTAAAAAGATATCAATATTGAAAAATCTTAATCAATAATTGTAAAATGAATCTAAAATTGATGAATTTTCGAAATTGATATAAAATATATGATGATATGTTTTAATCATAAATAAATAATTTTAAACGTTAACTTATGTAAATAATTAGTACTAAAAATATTATAAAAATTAATATTAGATTTTAGAATTAAATAATTAATATACAGGGTGTCCGACTTTAATCTATACATGAAAATTACTCGTTAATTATTCGCTGTATGAAAAATGTTTACAATAAAAATTGAATGGTTTCAAGGAGACTATAAGATGAAATATGGACTCATGAAAAACATATAAACTCCGTTTTTTAAATGGAATTATATCATTTTTAATGTATTAATAGATTCAGCCTGTTATTTTTAACAAAAAAATACTAGATCACTTATGTCGAAAAGTAATTAATTTACGAGATATTAAGCAAAGTAAGCAAACTTTTACCATTTGAATTTTATAGGAAACAGTCTTTACATAGTGAAATGAGTAATTTTCATTCCTAGATTAAATATGGACACCGTGTGTAATATTAATAGCACACTAATTTTCTTATCATCTTTTTGTTAAATTTATTAGTAGATAGCTAAAATTATCTATTATGTGTTAGATAATTATATCATTTATTTGCAATGCCTTTTGTTAATATAAAGCAAACATTCAGAATATTTTAATATTTCCCAACTCATTCTTTATTTGTTTATAAATATATCTTGAAATATGTTACGTACAAATAAACTTTGTACATTTCTCTTAATTACAGTCTGATTACACCCTTCATTCCTTTCATTAATCATCTTCTATGACATTACATAAACAAGCTTCATAACTCCCTTTCCTTACTGTATGTATACACATCATCAACCAAACACTTATAAACACATATTTACTTCCATCCATCACTCTCAAGTTTCCTCATAATTTTCCAATACTTTTTTTCTTTCTATAGCTTCCCATACCTCTTACCTAAAAAATAGAATGTTTAAAAAACACAGTGACATATAAGATTAAAGATATTACATAATAATTCCTATTTTAAATCCACAGATAATACCTCCATTTAAACCATTTAATACACAATGTATCCTTCCGTACTCACAACCAGTCAACGACTCTCCCATAAAAGGCTCCACCAGACCGCCAACATTCCTAGCAATCCTCAGCATTAGTCGGAAACAGTACACTCAACGAAACCGTTGAAACCGAAAGTAAACCCGCTCTAGTAGACGGTCTGCTTGCTTCCAGGATGAGGGAGTACGTGGAACAGAACGAGAAGACTGACCCACTGATACACGCGCCCGACAAGAAGAACAATCCCTGGGCCGAGAGAGGCAAATGCATAATCATGTAATCAGGACGTAGAACCGCAGGGGAGTAGGAGAAGGAGAAGAGGCGAGGAAGCATCTGAGCGAGTATCATCCGAAGCGAGCAAGGGGGCTAGGAAAACTGTTTAGCCGCGTTTGAAATAAACCAGCGAAACAAACCAAACCAAATGAAAGAAGCAGACAAGCAAAAGCGAAAAAAAAAAAATTATATACACATGCGAAAGAAGAAAAACGTTAAAAAAGGGAATAAAAAAGAAAAAAAAAAGAATAAAACAGAAATCAAGAAAGTGAAAGGGAAGAGGAAAGAGGGAGGAAAGACAGGAAGGAATTTACGATGATAAGGAAGCAGAAGTACAAGAGAAGATGTCGAGCGAAGTTGGACGAGATAACCTGTAAGATGGAGCCAGGAGAGCAGCGAGTCTCGGAAGGAGGAGCTTTGGTTGGCGCGAAGCGAGGTTAAACTAGCCAGAGCAAATTATTCAACAATCTAATTCTTCGCGGTTACCTGTTCGCACTGACTTTCCCGTTTGGCATGCAAACGAACGACCGCCGCGTTTCGACTCGGCTTTCTTCGTCTCTCTAATTCCCGCTCTCGACTCGAATCTCGAGCAATTCCCGAGACCTGGTCCTCGTATACAGAGGCACGCCTCGTTGAATTCGCACGACGGCGAACAGAGACGCGAAAAAGTATCCTGTATCGATATTAATTGGTTAAACTTTCACCACGTGCGCGCGTCGATCTCTGTTTCTCACTCGTTCTTTCTCTGTCTCTCTCACTCCCTCCCACCCTTCGCCGCTCTATCTGCGTCTCCTTCTTTTCGATTGTCGCTCTCTTACTCTCGGCGCTGGCGAGCGAATATGGCAGTCGATAATTTGCCCTGTGGGTTTCGGGGAAGCAAGGACACAAACCAGACATGGATGGTGAAAATTTAATCGATTTCGATCGATCTAAGAGACGAAACGAGTGAAACGGGCGAGATACGAAAGGATCGTTTAAACGAAGTATGGATTCGCGCTTCCGCCTCAGTCATCGTTCCGAATTCCGAGTTCTGGATGAGTTCCATGTATCAGTTTCTGATTCGATTCCATTCGTTCCGATCGGACACGTGTTACGCGCCGTAAACACATCGTGTGCAATTCTAACCTAGTACCACGGGAAACTCTTTTGAATCGTTCATTATATCGCGTAAGGATTATTTATCTTAAGTACACAATGTAATCTAACGTCATTATATGTACACACGTTATATCATATGTCGTACGATTAATACGCTATGCATATTTCTGCGAATTTCTTACGAAAATATAATATATTCACATCGTTTAATGGAGATTATTGTATGCTGCTTCGTCCTGTTCCTTTACACAGTGGCATCGGTTTCTGTCGTGTGATGTTTTTGTGATCTTCGTTTATTAATAATTTATTATGGAAACGACTGTTCGCGAAGAAGTTTTCTTCCTTTTCAATTCAGTTGGACAATTCGACGTTCTCGGAACGGTCATTTCAGTTAATAACCTATTTATTTGTGTTACTCGATTAAAATAGTGTTCATTTCTAATCACTACGGTAGATATATCGTTGTTTCAAATAAGTATAGCGTTAGGAAAATGTAAGGTGTTTCATCGTTCGTGAACGTCTTGAATATTTCTGGCATTTATCGAAACGTGACGAGTCCTCGCGTGAAAAGTCCCGCGAGTCAAAATTATTTGAGATTATAATTATCTAAAAATAATCGTCGAGATGACCTTCGAATATAAAAAGATATATTTAACGAAATTATATCGAACAATTCGAGATTTTGATGTCACAAAGATATTTATCTTTATTAGATAATATTTAAATCGTGCAATATTATTAGATAATATTTAACTCGTGCAATTTTATTCTTAAATATTTTTCTATAATCCCAACGAAGATATTCAAGGGTTTATGGCGAATGAAATATCTTGTATACTTAAAGAGATACTTTCATCTATTCCTAGTACATATTTCATTAACATCGTGTATGTACATTAATCTAAAGATCATTTTTATATGGTGTTCTATTTTAATCAATCTCAATTATCACTAATTTTAGAAAATGAAAGCCAGCAGTGAGCTTAAGATATTTCCAACTCCTCCATCGGTATATTACACTAAATCTACTATTTATAAACATCGTCGCAACTGAGATTACGGAGTAGCACGCGCTATACACGGTAGCAGGTATACTCCGTGCGTTACAAACTCGATTCCTTCGATATTCAAATATAAAGCATTGCAAATTTTTTTCAAATTTACCTGCAATTTAATTGTACCACGAATTACCATTCTGCATAGCTAAAACTGCCAAAATGTATGCTTAACGAGACACACGGATAATTATAAAATCCTACAAAAAGGAAATGAGAGAAAAAAAAGACAGAAAAAAGAAAAAAAACAGATCGTAAGAGAGAGTTTTAAAATAACACGTTTCACGGTGCAGTGTACAGTATTAATTCGTACCAATTTCCTTTGTAATTTGTAATCGGTATTTATAATGTTATTAAAGCAATTTTCATTGCAGGGACCATCCTGTATGTACCACAGACAGATAAATTAAAGCAAAAATAAAGTAATCGATAACGCCTAAGTCGAATTGTCTCGAGGGTTGTCAAAGTCACCAGAGAACAGCCGGGGGATTCCCCGTGGAGGTACGACAGACCATTGACGTGATCCCTCGCCCACGACATCCTCTATCTGTTCTGCGTTGCTCGAGCGTTTGCAGCCATTTCCATCGTCGATTGTCTCGCGGCTTCGTAGAACTTTATTCGTGCTGGAAAACGTCTACGACGCCTGTTGAACGAGAACGGGATTCCTTTCGGGGAAGGAGTCGCGTTTCAGAGACCTATTCGCGATAAGGCAGTTATCTGTAAGACCGATCGAGAAGAGGTGGAGGAAGAAAAGCAGGAAAAGAGAAAGAACGAAGGCTCGTGTACTCTCGTTGGATTGTACCGTGTTGAATAGCGGTGTCTGAGGAGGAAACGTGAGAAAGACGAAAAGAGGAGCGTAATGAAATATTACTTTCACTTTTTAATACGCGCAAGAAGACTCACAGCAGAGGCCGCTGTCCGGCTTTCCAACAATTAGCGATTATCGAGGATATGCCTTGGTTATTTTCTTTCCATCGGCTTACATGATTCGGGACGTTTTGGATGATTAACAAACTGGTGAAGGTTTTTTCCTGAAGGATGCACGATGATCATGTCCACGTGTCTGTGTGGGAAACGTTGACAGAGCGTTATGGGCATGTGGTAGCTGGTTGAATGAGTAGAGAAAGATTTAGCGTTAGCACATGTGTTGTGAGATTGATATTTATTGAAGTATAAGTGATGATGAATATGAGACATTATGATTGGTTTATTTTGTACCTACCTAATAGGTATTGTTTGTTTTTGACTTGGGTCTAGTGGAAAAAGTCACTGTGAATATTAAATAATGTAAGTGTGAAATTCTTTCACAAATTTTTGTTAATGGCAAAGGTATTGCTGCTTGTAGCTAATTGAAAAGGAGGATTACAGTTATTTAATGGTATCAAGTCTGTGTGCTGTGTTGCTGTATTGATATATTAAATTATTGGATACTTTTAAAGGATTACAAAAATATACCAAGACAGTTCAGTTTACGGATATGTTTATTAAAGTATAATTAAATAAAGTTGCTTTCTATGCATTGAATAATTATACATAAATTCTATTAATCATAAATCGTTTCTAAAATTGATTCATTTTTAATTGTTCATTGTTTATAAGAAATAATTAGCTTTTTATTTTGCTGAAGTATAATTGTTTCTATCTTACAAATAACATCATAGTCATAAAGCCTGAAAGTAAAGCAATAATAAATTGAATTTTAGTATATAATTATAATTATATTTTTGGTTATTTATGTTCATAAGAAAACTATTTAAAACTAAAGCTAGGTATAGAATATTCAACTTGAATTTTTGGTAGATGAAATTTCGGAATTAAATATTTTTATTGCATGCATGCAATAACGTAAAATATTCATAAAGATACTAACAAACAGCAAATTTAATAAATATTTCTGAATATATACAAATTATTGTGAAACAAATTTATAATAAATCAGTGTACTTTTTTCTATCATATTATACAAGACGTAACGAAATAAATGTAATGGAAATGTATAAAATTTTCAATTATGAAGTTGAACTTCTTTTATTTATAATTTTTATTTATACGTGTTCTTTCATTTATAAAATTCGAATTGAAACAAATATCAAATTCGACATTTTGTCTGTCTCTCTTCTAAATCAAGTGATTTTTTTAAGGTTCTAATGGTTTCACTTCTTATCACAGATGGTTATCTTAATTTCTAACTCTAATTAAGGCTTTTTAAAACGTTTCTCGTGTGGACTCCATTACCAAATGTTCATCAAACTTCTGGTACCTGTTGAGGGTTAAATGGCCAGGCACTTTGTGTAATTAGCCCATAGGACCGGTTATTTTACCGCTAATCTTAGAATATTTATGTCTTAATTAGTGATAGACCATCTAGTTTATATACGACGATGCTCTTCAGTAGTACCAGATCTGGTTTTACTTAAATAACATTTTTCGTGAAAGGTTAATGAGACAAGAAGCCTCAATTAAGAGGTTTCTATTCTCAGATTTCAATCTTCTTAATTATGGAAATACCTAACGTGTCTCGTGTACTTAGATTTCTCATTGTCTAATAATTTTTAAAATTTCTAACGAATCTAAAAGTGGGAGAATCAAAAATGTCGAAAGATTATTTATTTGAAAAAAGAAAGAGAATTTATTATTGTATACTTTTCAAATAAAAAATAATTATGGTAATATGCATCTTCTACAGCAAAGGAACTTATTATTAATAATGTCTTGTAGAAAGAAAATGGAGAAATATTTTATTAAAGAAAAAGTTAATAATTTTTTGGTGAAGAGGAAAGATCAACAATATTTTATTAAAAGAAGTAAAAATATGCTAATAAAAAAATTTATATTTATAGTTTATTAAAAAAGAAGAATCGTAATAATATTTTACCAAAGAAAGAAATATTACGTTAAATAAGAAATATTAATAATATTTTATAAACAGGAAAAAGTATATAATGTTTTAATAAAAAAAAATTATTGTTTTCTTCCAAAAACGAAAATTAGTATTTTATTAAAAAAATAAGAATGTGAAATATTTTGTTAACGAAAAAAATGCTATTATTTTATAAACAGAAAAAAATATACAATGTTCCGTGAAAAAAAAAATTAGCAATGTTTTTTACAAAAGAATAAAAGCGTTAAATATTTTTTTAAAAGTAAAAATATATTAATAAAAAAACTTATATTTATATTTCATTAAAAAAGAATAACAATAATAAAATTTTCAATATTTTACCAAAAAAAATAATGTTTCGTTAAATAAGAAATATTAATAATATTTTATAAATAGGAAAACGTATAGAATGTTTTATCAATAAGAAAAAAAATTATCAATATTTTTTTTTTACAAAAGAAGAAAGCTTTAATAATATATTATTAAAAGAAAATATCGTGTAATATTTTATTAACGAAAAAATTTGTAATATTTCGTAAAAGGAGAAACACGTATAATATTTTGTTAAAAAAGAGAAGAATTCGTATAATGCTGTATTAAAGTTGTAGTAAAGGAGAAAAAAAGAAGAAAATAATATAGGAAGTCGTTCTGCAATTTACTTATCGAAGTTTCCTTATTTATTAAGGTAATCACTATGTATTTTCGAAGGTGAATTTTTTCACCCCCTTTGAGTCGCCCTGTACTCCTTGGGAACGGTTGTTGACCTTTCGACAATAATCGATGCAAGTTAGTCTTCCCATCCACTAGACAGCCGTGTTCTTCTTTGCAATTACTAAATAGCATGGTTTGATAGTATTTCAACCAACTGCCAATTTCTTCTTCTGGGAATGTTGATCACGGTATAGAATGGTATTCCTTCTGTATTCGACAGAGATTACCACAGAGTTTGCAAATCGACGCGCTACCTTCCAATCTTAAAAGCTAATAACCAGTGTACTCGTTACTGAAATTTCTTAACACGACACGCATACATGTATTAATTTTCTTCAAACGAATTTTGTAACGATCTCACTGATACCTTCTATTAATTGTTTGTAACACTCCTAAGATTACTTTTACTTAGGAAACATTTTATAGTACAGAATATTTTACATTTATTATTTATTCATATGTATATATATATATATTTTTGTGAAAAAGAATATCTTTTTTACATTTTTTAGTACAGGATACTTTTCTATGTTTATCTTTAAAAATGCATAAATATCTTTTAATTAATATTTATTAAAATATTTAAAATTAGGGTGGCCAAAAAGCAATGTCGACATTTTTAGTATAAAATAGTAGACATTTTCTTTGAGATTAAGAAAATATTTTATTTAATTTTAATTTGGAACTTTTTATCATCTATAAATAGGAAAACGTATAGAATGTTTTATCAATAAGAAAAAAAATTATCAATATTTTTTTTTTACAAAAGAAGAAAGCTTTAATAATATATTATTAAAAGAAAATATCGTGTAATATTTTATTAACGAAAAAATTTGTAATATTTCGTAAAAGGAGAAACACGTATAATATTTTGTTAAAAAAGAGAAGAATTCGTATAATGCTGTATTAAAGTTGTAGTAAAGGAGAAAAAAAGAAGAAAATAATATAGGAAGTCGTTCTGCAATTTACTTATCGAAGTTTCCTTATTTATTAAGGTAATCACTATGTATTTTCGAAGGTGAATTTTTTCACCCCCTTTGAGTCGCCCTGTACTCCTTGGGAACGGTTGTTGACCTTTCGACAATAATCGATGCAAGTTAGTCTTCCCATCCACTAGACAGCCGTGTTCTTCTTTGCAATTACTAAATAGCATGGTTTGATAGTATTTCAACCAACTGCCAATTTCTTCTTCTGGGAATGTTGATCACGGTATAGAATGGTATTCCTTCTGTATTCGACAGAGATTACCACAGAGTTTGCAAATCGACGCGCTACCTTCCAATCTTAAAAGCTAATAACCAGTGTACTCGTTACTGAAATTTCTTAACACGACACGCATACATGTATTAATTTTCTTCAAACGAATTTTGTAACGATCTCACTGATACCTTCTATTAATTGTTTGTAACACTCCTAAGATTACTTTTACTTAGGAAACATTTTATAGTACAGAATATTTTACATTTATTATTTATTCATATGTATATATATATATATTTTTGTGAAAAAGAATATCTTTTTTACATTTTTTAGTACAGGATACTTTTCTATGTTTATCTTTAAAAATGCATAAATATCTTTTAATTAATATTTATTAAAATATTTAAAATTAGGGTGGCCAAAAAGCAATGTCGACATTTTTAGTATAAAATAGTAGACATTTTCTTTGAGATTAAGAAAATATTTTATTTAATTTTAATTTGGAACTTTTTATCATCTTAAGTATAATTGCGTGAGTTTAAGTATCGTGTTATTATATTGAGGAAGAGAAGTTAAGGAAACTGTATTGTACCAGAAAACAAGGGCACCATCTAGTGTAAAAATCTGGTACTACTTATTGGTCTATCTAATAGCAAATTACTATTTTTACTATTAAAAATTTACTTTACTCTTCTATTATTTTAAAAATTTTATTATTCAAACAATCGAGTATCCAGACAGTATATCTTTTTATTAGTGTAATAAGAAACTAGTGCTATATATATTAATACCTAAGCATCGAAGAGAAAGCCTATAATATTAATTGAGAAAATAATAAAAATGATTCAAGTATTGACAAAGTGAACAACATTCAATGTATTTTCTCTTTGAGACATTTGCAATACCACTGATAGGGTATTTAATTGGTTTAAGGTACAAGCAGGATTTAATTCAAAGTAATTTTATAATAACAAAATTTAAACAACATGGCAAGAAACAAAGTGTATAATTTAAATAAAAAGAGAAATAATGAAATTAATAAAATTAATAAAATGAAATAAAAGTAAAGAGATTAAAGAAAAAATTCGAATAAAAATCAAATAAAGTTAGAGAAATTAATCAAACGAATAAAGTAAATACATGAAAATAGCAAGAAAATATTTCAATTATATTACATTGCATTTTTAATGCATTATTACTCGTATTTCTGTAATAAAAATCATAAAACCAAACGAGTGTCCCTTTACTTAAAAATTTCCCTAGCTGATCGATCATGGCGCCCTCTGAATTCATATATTGGAACCTCCGTTATAACCAAAGTATCAT